CACCACTACCGGAATACTCGTGGCAGCCTATAAATCGTGGGGTGAGATTTTTTAATGCAATGTAGGGCGCAGATTGGGACTTGATGCATTTATGCATTATACTTCAGGTCCTATTGGTCAAGCGGCCCGTTCATTCTTAATTCGGCCAACAACGCAACCAGCAGCACCCTTACCAACACCACTAGAACCACTAATACCACGACCACTTACACCACCGGGGGCCAACGGATTGTTATCGGTGTCAACAGAGGAACTAACATCTATCTTATGCCCTTACTTATAGTACGTATCCATGGTAATTCTTAATTTCTTGACTCGTTTAATTAGTTGAGTTTCCTTAACGTACATACACTTGTAAATGAGATATCAGATGTCAAATTTAGGTTGCTTTTGGCAAATTTTGAGAACAGTTTCCAAGGGTTAGGAAACATGGGTTACCCTTTACTTTTAAGTGTACCGTAGTAAAGTTAGGATAAGAGTTAGAGTTATGAGAACACGGTTAGGTTTTTAATGGTGGGGTGTTGGTTTGTGCGCTTTTACTGTTAATAGTTTCAGAGGTAACATTAGGGTTTTTTGTTTTAACTTGTATTGGAATGTTAGATTTGCTAATTTAAGGCTAAGCTTAACCATTTAATGTTTGCTTCCATGGTTAATATAAGTAGTTTAGGGTAAGAATGAGGGGGTTTAGTTCTCGGTAGTACTCTTAAGGAGGTCCAGCGACGGGTAACCAAGCTTTTCAAGGTCATGACTACCTGTCTGTCTCTATGGCGTTCCAGCATATAATTGAACGGCAATCAACCGCAGTAAAACCTCGGTTAAGAAGTATAATTTTTTTCCGGTCGTCCTGTGAAATGCTCGGGTACCGAAACGAATTTCCTCCGATCCCGTACTGGAATTGAAATGAATCCGTTCCACCCTCGACAAAATATCCATAAAAATTTTGTAATGTAACCTTAATGGAAGATGGGAAAGCGTTCTCTGCTTTCTGTTGTGTTTTGCCTTACAAAGAATCGTTGCTGGCTTGAGGTGACGATGGAGAGGTGTGGCGGAAGAGAGAGTTTGCGGTGTGGAGTGAGAATCTACTTATGAGGTAGGCGGGCTCTCCCTTCTTGTAAATTTTACCCTACTGGGTAAGAGCTCGTGGCCAATTAGACTACATCAGTTTACTGATTGGTTGCAGGCGACCGAGGACCCATGCCCGGATAAAGAGACTCAACGGTGGACGCAAGGCTTTTGACAATTCGTTAAATGAACCGAAACTCTTCAATCGAGACTAACTTTCTCTAAGTGGCTCAATTGTTACCTGAAGAGCGCTGACGAGTGCCTGCTGCTAAGTGACTGTCGGCCACACCAAACGCAGAGCTTCTATTCGGTTCTTTTGTGCACACAATGCCGGCTTCATCAACCTGATAGCGGTCGCTTCTGTTGTTGCTAGAAGGCGCTGACCCAGAGACTTTGGATGCTTTTGTAAGACCTTATAGATTACTCAAAAGGCTTCGTCGAGTTCACCGCGATGTCCGGAATCAACCAGGTGCGTCAGAATAGAGCTGTTTATGCTCCTGACTTTAACTGTTCTCAGCCATGCCAAAAGTTGTTCCTCTATCCGTTTGGATAAGCGACGATGCGTGCGACCAATATAACCTGTCCCACGGGACAAGTAAAAGAGTAGATGCACACGGAGGTGGTCTGAGCTGGTAACCTTTCCTTTCGTTACACATGTAAAACCGTGTTTTTCAATAAAAATACTCGAACGTTCGATGCTGGAAAGGTTTGCGACACGATTTGATCAAGGCGTCTTTTCAGGAGTGCACTTGCCGCGTCCCCTCGAACGGGAACTTTGAAGGATAATGCTTTCTTTTCCACAGTTAATGGGTTGTATTTGTTCCGCAGCCATATTCCTTATAATAAATCTCTCAGCATACCTGTTCTCACGAAGA